CGACCACTCCCCCATGGAGCTTTAAAAGGCGATTTGAAGCTATGCATGAGGTAAGTTGATTATGTAATAATATAGAGAGTTTTAGATTTACGTTCACGGCAAACGTGAAACGTCAGTTGACCAGTAAAAAATCATTTTAAATAGCTTAAAAAGAATCGCAAAAAAGTCCAAGTAGTAGAAAAACAAAAGAATATTTGCGCCTGGTGAGAACGTTTGCAAAAGGTAAAGTAAAATACAGGAAAACTATGAAAACGTGGTCACGTTTGCCGTTTGCGGGGAGAAAAAATGTCAATCTAAAACTCTCTAATACCTGTATAATGTTTGAGTAAAGGTGTGTCTATTAAAATCCCTTGCCTTGCCTTGCCTTGCCTTGCCTTGCCTTGCCTTGCCTTGCCTTGCTTTGCTTTGCTGATGAAACGGATTCTCTCCTCCCTTTAATTGCCTCTTCTACCAACACCCGATCACGATAGAGTATCACCAAAGTTACTCTATTTTTGTTATAGCGTGCAATCAAGAATCTGCAAATTTGGACGAGGCTGTCGTTTTGCGCACAGTGAGACTGAACTGAACTCCTGGAAGAAACTCTTCGAAGAGAGACGGAAAGAAATACAAACACCAGACAACAAACGATCCCTAAAGCATCATGAGCTTCAGGTAAGACCAAAACAAAGACATCAAGTAAACTGCTTGGTTGCATTATGTTTTTATTTGTTGATTTTTTTTCTACTCGACTTTTAGTTTACAGACTCCATTCCAGGGATTGAGCTTACATGTAACCCCGTAGTCCCTAATGTACAGCTTGCCGAGGACTGCGAAAACCATTCTTACAGATGGGAGTTCTGTGCTTGTTTTGAGGTACAGTAAATAAGCCAGGACCTTAGGTAACAACAAACGGGACATCAGTAACTTCAGCGAGCAAAGCACCTCAACATTAGTAAAAAGGCGAATAATTGTTAACCATACGACGAATGGCATTCAATAGAATATCGAATACATTTTAAGAATTTTTCTCTAGGAAAATGTGTTGGCTAGAAAGTTCAGCCCCCCTTGAATTCTTGAATTTTCCCTTGCAATTCTTAAACTCCCGGTCTCGACGGCCCTCTCCCAGCCTTAGATATTTCTCGATGCTTGAGATCCTAATAGTACATCCATATGAGACTATTACGGTCCAAATAGAAATGGATATTGAATTTAGGTAAAATTGTCACACAAAACTGTAGTATTTAACGAACTATTATATGCTTTCTTTGCAAAATATAAATTCACGGCTATAAAATCGTTTAGTAAAAAGAGTAAAAATAATGTAATCTAGACGACATTTGATTGAAAACATCCCGCTATAGGTCTGCTTCAATCTCCAAAGCAAATAAATCAACTGCAATCAAAATTTCATTTAACAGAAATATATATATATATGAAATAAATAAATATATGAAATATATATTTTTTCGTAATCATGTGTTTTGTTTCATTTTAATAGAAAAAATTAGGCCTTCCAGCCGCAGACCTACTGAATTTCCCTCACAACTTCCATTTTACGAAGGTCCAAGTCGTGGGATTCGATAGGAATAACAAAGCTACTACTATTTTGTCTAAAGAGCTGATCATGAAAGAGATCCATATACCACGGGAGGCATTGGTATTTGATTCGCAAATGCAGAAAATCGAATTTCGTGTGAGCGTTGCCTTCCAAGCTTCATTGTTTGGCAGCTTTTCTCAGCGTCTTCTGTTTAATTTTGGTCAGCAACCTTTTCTTAAGAAAGATTTTAACATCGATATTGGCAGTAAGGAAACACTGGAGAAATTGGCCGCTAGGAGAAAGACCGTCATACTTGATGCCCTACCTTKGGAAGATCAAAATATGACACTCGTAAGATTCGAACCCCATCCAGAAAGAGAAAAGTTGATGTCCACCTACTCTTTGCCTAAGGATGCAGAGAGAATTGTGTCAGCTCAGTTGGTTAAAGGGGAAGTCAGACAAGACACTTATAAACAGACAATGCACCAGCTCCTTTTTTCCGAAGAGGTTCATATGAGGAAACTTCTATTAAGGTAAAAAATTGGGTATACAAAAAAGCTTTATTCTTGTATTTGTTTCTTTGATAATGTATAAAGACAGCAATATGTTTATTTCTGTGTAATATGCAAAAATTCTGATAAATTTTGTACATATATGAAGTATATAAGAAGTAAATTAGAAATTATGGGATACCATCTCTGATTTTTTTTTTTTTTCAGAAAGTTCTAGTGATGGACAACTCGAAAAAATATCACGGAGGATATTCCATAATTTCTGATATACTTTTGATATACTTGCATATATAAAATGATCAGAATTTCTGCAGATTGCTGTATATATACATTTAGTAAAAATACGCAGGTGATTATAGAAAATCTCGCGCGCTGATTGGTCAAGAAACTCACACTATCACACGATAATCACCTCGAGCGAAAATCCCAAATGGCGGCCAGYCGCTTTGTTGCTGTTACCGGGAAAAAATGCTTTTTATCTGTTATTTGCCTCAGCCTCAGTGATTATTGGGGAATATTTACCCGTCGCCGCTCGAAGACTCGCGTCTCGGTAGATATTCCCCGATAATCACTTCGCCTTYGGYGAATAATTGTTAAATATATAAAGTGATAAAAACAGACAATATATATTTTTGTTTCAACGAGTTATTGAATTTCATAGTTTTCCTTTGAGTTTTAAGCTTTTCTTTTGTCAAATAAACCTTGAATTAAAAAGTAATATATCTTCCCTCAAAGTGGCGGGATATTTACAAATGTATTTTAACTTTGGATTTATCATTTYATAGTCTTGCGCCAACGACTGCCGTAAAGCTCGAAATCGTGACAACTAAACCAGATCTCAGRTTCGGTGGTATAAAGTTTGCRGGGACAGGTCAGCTGTTTGGAAAAATAGAACTTGAAAACACCGAAATCACACTCGATGACATGGCGGGAAGAGTATGTCTGCGAAATGTTCAGCACATTTGGATCCAATCACGTGATAARCCCAAATGCCTTTACGAGTTGCCGAGCGAAATTCACGAGGGCAAMACCATTTATGTGGATTTGCCACCAAAGGTGTGCGAGGATCTGAAGGTATGTAGTGATGGAGAGTTTTTGAAATATTTTTTGTTAAAGAYACCTGAAAATTCTTCTCGTTCTTTCGTCAGTCGGAAATGCAAACAGTTGTAAAAAAATCGTTTTCAGAGCAGATAAGAGTAAGCTCGTTGGCCATATGAAACAGAGTCGTCCTTAGGTGCCTGGAGTACTATTAGATTCGATGAACGGAGAKCACGAGCAGGGCGGCGTAATTCAAAGAGCTTTTTCATCAACCCAGATGCAGCCTATTGATCGAGTTTTGATAATTCCTAAAAAAATTTACAATATCATGTCAACCTCAGTTAACAAAGGGCTCCTTCGACGACACAACCGGGCCATCTTGAATCGGAAGGCAAAGTGTTTGTCTTCCTTTCATGAATAACGGTTATTAATGTGCCGTCTGCTGATGTAATAACGACACGCGATCGAAGAAAACACAAGCCTCACATTAGCTTTATATTTGCCCCATGAACAACCCATTTATTGCCTTGCGATTCTAATAATATAGATGCAAAAATTTCTCACTTC